ACAGAGAAGGAGCTCGCGATTCAGCATAATGCAGTGCCACGGGCCCGTGAATTTTCAATGTTCGGGGTAATGGCGGTATAAAAAAAAATATTTAAAAAACGCATCAGCGTCCTATTAGTGATCACGAATAACACCGGTCACACTCCCAAGCCCCATCGCTCCACTCAACACCGACATGAGACACGACAGCGAACTGCATCAAAACGCCCCAAAAATGAAGGCGTCTGCTCCCGTGCAACCAGAGGTCGGCATTTTAAGTCGCCCTCACTCACCCTCACTCTCACAGCCACACTCACCTAAGCCCCTCACTCTCCCTCACCCTCACAGCTACACTCACCTTCAACCCCTCACTCACCCTCATCCTCACAGTCACACTCACCTTCAGCCTTTCACTCTCCCTCACTGAACCTCACGGCCCTCACGCCCCTCACACACTCATGGCTATCACGCCCCTCACGCACTCACCGCCCTCACGCACTCATGGCCCTGACGCCCCTCACCGCCCTCACGGCCCTCACGCCCCTCACGCACTCATGGCCCTCACGCCAATCACTGCCCTCACGCGCCTCACTCACTCATGGCCCTCACGCCCCTCACCGCCCCCACGGCCCTCACGCGCTCATAGCCCTCACGCGCTCATAGCCCTCACGCGCTCATAGCCCTCACGCGCTCATAGCCCTCACGCGCTCATAGCCTTCACGCCACTCACCGCCCTCACGCCACTCACCGCTCTCACGCACTCATGGCCCTCACACCCCTCATGCACTCACCGCCCTCACGGCCCTCATACCCCTCATGCCCCTCACGCCCCTCACGCACTCATGCCACTCACCGCCCTCACGCACTCATGGCCCTGACACCGTTCACGCACTCACCGCCCTCACACCCCTCACGCACTCATGGCCCTCACCGCCCTCACGGCCCCCACGCACTCATGGTCCTCACCGCCCTCACAGCCCTCACGGCCCTCACTAACCCTCACACTTCATGAATTTTCCTGGTTCAGAAGCTCACTTACCCTCACCTCACCTGTGAAGATGAGGGTGAGTGAGGGTGAGTGAGGGCCCTCATGAGTGAGGTTTGCCGAGGTATGACTGCAACTAGCGGAAGTGAAGTGTTGGGCGGATTTCCTTCGCAAGAATATATAAAAAATGTTTTGCGCGAGGATAATTTCCATTGATTATTGAATACATAATGATAAAATCCCAATAATTTATTTTTCTATCTGATTCAAGCCAGTCGGACTGCTCATAACACTGGTCGAGCATGAAAATAACAAAAATTTCAACTTTTTCATGGCCTGTTTAAGATTTCTTAATACATCCATGTTTAACGGACTAACTTTACATATTTTGCCTCCATACTTTTTAAGTGCAAACAGTTCTTACATACGGCTGTCCATTGTGCCGTGTTTTGTGTCTTCGTCTATAAATCTGTAACGGTCAGCGACCAAAGAGCTCACCCGCACATGTCAAGCTTATATACGCCGCGGGGAGCGAAGGATGTTAGTAGGAAGTGTCGGGCGTAGTGTCGGTGTTGTTTGTGTCGGTGCTGTGTCATACGTGGTACTCGTGCTGTCTGTCATACATGTAAGGTTGCTGTCTCCTCGTGATAGTTCTCAGCGTATTAACAGGCTCGCTGTTGTTGTTGTTTTTGTCACTGGTTGCTAGAAATCTCACTAGGTGTTACCGCCCGATTCCAAATAGTTTGCTCCAGTTATTTATCCATGTAAGTTCGGTATTCATTTTTTTTTTTGTCTAGCGGTTCCGTTGTAGCTGCCGACGCCACCGACCGCCGACGACGCACGTACGTACCTTTGCACATAGCTACGTCCGCCGCTTGGAGACTGTTTACTGTGTACAAAAAACTTATCAAAGCTTAATGCTGGGCTAGTTGGTATTGGTCTTGGGTTGCCAAAGGAATGGCAGCGCTTTTTAGACGAGGACAAAAGAAAGAAAGACAAGACAGACACGAGCGCTGACTGCAACTATTTAATCAACATGGAAATGAGGCTATATACACACACTTCGATCCTAACAATCAGCCAACCCCAGGCCTTGCCGCCGCTCGCATGAACTGCACCTCCTTATCGAAAAGGTCGATGGAAGCAACGCTGACACACCCCACCCCTGCCCTTTTTATCTCGTCCGCTTCGATAAGTTTCCTAACCGTTCTATTTTTATGTTTAGCCAGTACTGAGCATGAGTCAAACAACGGTTTACATCCGCAGTCATGGCAATGCATTGAAAGGTGGCCATCCCAATAGTTTTTGACGTTCAGACTATGTTCCCGGAGCCTGTCGTTCAGACATCTCCCAGTCTGACCTACATATTTCTTACCGCATGTTAACGGAATCTGATACACCACGCCCTCAACACAAACAACAAACGGATTTCTGTGCCTCATCACACAACCCAGCGAGGCTTTGCGGAAGGGGTTCGTCAAATGGTTCAGCCTAACTAGTTTTTCTGGCGCAGAAAAGACCACCTTAGTATCTATGCGGCTTGCTATTTTCTTTAGGTTATGCGCCGTCTTGTGCATATAAGGCACGACTGCGATCCTTTGTTTACTTCTGGCCTCTTCTGGACGGCCGTTGCCCTTTGCTCGAAGCCTCTAAAGATCACCTCCGCTACCGATACAGCCTCCGGGTAACCAGCCGCCAACAGACGTTCAGACTGCTCCAGGACACTCAAATGTGTCACATAGTGACATGACTTATGAAGGGCGTTCTTGAAGCACAAATTAGCAATCCCTCTCTTAACCAGTTTTGAGTGGGACGAATTAAAAGGCAGCAGGGGCTTGTTAGCTCTAGGTTGGTACATCCAACATACATGATTCTCGAAGAAAGTAAGCTTGATGTCGAGGAAACGAATGACACCATCTACCGGCACCTCATGTGTAAGTTTCAGGGGATGAAGGGCGTCACTAAACATAGTTAAGAGACTATTAACCACCGAGTGGAAAACTGTAAAGTTAAGAAATACTAAAAAATCATAAACAAATCTAAAACACTTCCTTACGTTAAAAGCGCTCAGGCAGTCCGAAAGGACTCTGTCATGATAAGCTAAAAAAAGTCACTTAAAATTGGCGCTAGACATGAGCCGATACAAATACCTTCTTTTTGAAGGTACGCGTCTTTGTTCCATTCCGCGGAAGTAGACTTAAGGTAAAACAAGAGTAGATCTAAAAAGTCATCCACCGTCACGCCCGCAGCGTTTTGAAAAGCTACTACCCCATACCCCTGAATACAATCCTCGACGCAACTTCGTAGTTTGTCATATGGTAAGGAGTAATAAAGATCCTTAATGTCCAATGAACATGCCAAAAAGCCTACGTCAGCGTTCATCTTCAAAAAATCCACCACTTCGTCAGAGCTCCTGACTAAAAACGGGTCGTCGATGGTAATCTTAAGTTTATCTTGCAACCACAAGGCAATCGACTTTTGCCAAGTGCCATGCTCAGAAACTATGACCCTCAAAGGCCAGTCTTCCTTATGTGTTTTCACACTGAACATAATCTGTAAACAACCACTTCTGCTGTTTTCAACGCTTTTAGCCAAGCGGGTCATGTTTAACCAATTACAAAGACGCTTCCCCTCTCCCTTCAGTTTTTTCAGAGGCACATCCTGCCGTAGATTGAACACGGAGGTGATAGCCTCGAGGGCTTTCCCTCCAAATTCCCCCTCCGTTAAAGCAACCCCCTTCTTTATCATCGGGAAGGAACGACAACTGGCGTTCCCTTAACAAAGAGACGACACATCTAATTGGCATACGTCCCGTATGCCAATTAAATGCCGGTTTTTTACGCGGTAACGCATCCACACCCTCAGATCTGCATCTCTTAACTTCGTCCTCTGGAGCGAACCTAGAGACATCTCGGACAAGCCCTAGAAGTTCCGGAGCACTCATAACCGGCTCAACTGCAGACTTAGGCCCTAAAGCAAGTACCCGTCTAGCGTCCTCAGGGAGCTGCACATCACTTACACTCCTGACGTTGCAAGTGACCACTATACGTTTTTTGAGTATGCTGCCTTTAAGACGTGTCAACGACGGCTGCCGGATGAATTCCGTGCAACGGTTCACGATGCCGAGAAACTCTCGCAATCTTCGGCTGTCCGACTCCTGCTTGCCAGGGTCCCGAAGATGACTGAAACGAAGTGTGTTACTAGCACAGATTGTTACTAATCCAGTACGTGTTCTTCGTTCCATAACTCCAAGCTTCGTTCTTGTCGTCTGTTTTGATTGTTTGATTTGTGATATATTAGCATCTTTTGGTGTTTTGTCAAGCTGATTCACTTAGTGTGCTTCATAGCATTGACTAATACGTGTCCTGTAATAGCAGTCTGCAACGTCAACACGTATTATACATGTGTATTGGGCTATTTTAGCGGCGTGTTCGACGACATGTATTCTAAAGAAAAACGCTCCGACGCATATTTTTGCACATCCGTTTGGGAAACGCTCCAAACTTTTTATTTTGTCAGAACACTACGCAATATTTGCTCTTATAATCGAGCGCGAAGAGAAAACGCATTTCCGCTTTCCCTTAGGAATGCATTACCGGAAGTCAAATTTAGATTGTTTGCTGTCTGCTTCAAAATGCAGCGGCACACTAGCGCCACCTGAACCTCTAGCGTTTAATGTAATAACTCTGTGTATATTTCTAATAATAAAAAAGAAGAAAAAAGGCTTATAGTTCTTCCTTGGTTAATGATCACCGAAAAATCGGCAGCCTAAAGGATGATTGACACATCCGTGTTGCTTGCGTTCGCAACAACCGAGACGACAGCAACTACAGACACTGGGTCAAGTGTTCCCCGCACACAACGTGGCAAGCCTTGCAAAATTATATGTTGGCGAAGCAATCATGAGTACCGGTTGTTCCGGTGTTCTGGTCGTTTCTGTCCTTTTGCCTGTTGCGAATGCAACCGTCGCCAATGTGTGAGCCAGCCTAAATGATGACTGGCAACTTTGTCGCCTCTCGAGCACATGAGCACTGACCATTTCCAGCGACGATATGTAGGCGATCTCGAAGATGATGGCGTTCCGCGCACCGGACGAGGGCATCATGAAGTTGAACTCGGAGGCCGCCGCCGCGGGGAGCATCAGGCTCAGGGGCTCCAGGCCCGTCGCCTGACTCTGCACACGGCATCGGCCCATGCCCGCGAGTGCAAGCTCCAGTCAAAGCGCGCAAGAGCAACTTCAACGATGCAACGTTTGGTTGCATTGCGAGGAGGACGCGTGCAGTTGCTTAAATGGATTTGAAAGCAAGACGGGAATAACGAAACAAACAGTACGGCCCAAGTATAGATCAACAGGCTATCTACAAAAGAGTCAGGGTTCGCTACGCCCGGTATAAGCCCATCTGGTGTGGCCATACAAACAATTAGATGGAGAGGACGAGAGCCGAGGAGGGGGGCGGGGGCAATATTTTGCTATTTTTGCACAAAGATATAGGCAAAAAAACAGCAGTGATGTTTCACGTTGCAAAGCAGCTGACTGCCCCAGCAGCACCCCAAAGATTTTGTAGGCAAGGAACCTTGTGTTGTCTGCTTTTTGTAAGCTCACAGTTTTGCCGTCTTTAGCTTTCATTTGCATGTACGACTACTTTCTGCCCCACATGATCATCATCATAAAGCCTCTATTGGTACCAATACACAACCAATAATGGTCTGCATGATGGTTCATGATGTTATAAGAATATTTAAAACACGGCCACACCACAGCACTGACAGTTTTAATAGAACTAGAGCAAGCGCACCGTCGTTACCGTGTTAAAACAATTCACTAGGCTCAACAGGTATATAAACATTTCTCTCCATACGGAAGTTTCTGCTTTCCTAGCGATTTTTGTAGCAGCATTATTTTTAAAGCTTTTACATGACAGCTTGAAGCCCGAGCTCATAGCTTCATTTTTGGCATTTTCTTCTGATCAAGAGTGTGTGCAACCGCGGTGCCTCCTTGGGCAAAGAGCTCGAGCTTGTATAGCCTAGTGGTGTTATTGCCATTCCGGTTGATTTAGACAAGAAAATAATAAGAAGCCAATATTTAGACGAAGCGATACTCCGTCCTAAAAATAAGCAGATTACTGAATAATGAGTGAACACGTTACAGAAGCAAAGTTTCTTTTTGGGCGGAAATAAATTGACGATATAAAACATTATTCATGGCGCATGTGGCACTTGAGGCATATGAACGGGGCTTGCAGCCGCGGGAGGCTTGCGGGCCGCTTCCCAAAGCGTCGTGCTCATGTTTACAAACAAACCGGAGCGCCCCTAGCGGACCCCTCCGGTGCCGCGCGTGCGCAATGGAGTGTGGGCAAGAAGCTCGCCGTCGTCCATAAACAAGCCACTGAAATGCGATGTTGTCGGCGTCGGTGTGAGTCCCCTTGCCCTTTTTTGCGTTCGAATTGTTGATTCGACGTCTTCCTGGCAACGTCTGACTACTTCAGCGGCCTCAGCGAAATTACCGAGGCTCATTACACCGCAAAACTTCGCGTGAATAATGTGAGATGCGGCGATTCATTCCACATGGACGCCGCAGAATTCACGTTAAAGCTTGATTCGCATGATGAGATTTCGCTCGCCATTTTCAGTCGCGAGTCGCGACGTCGCTCGGGTTGCAAAAGCCCGAGCAAACCGTAGCTGAGATGATCGACGTCGATACTGAAAATCGCAAGCAGAATCGGACCAAGTGAATAAGGCATAAGAAGTCGGTGATGGCCACTGGTAACAATGATCAACATCTCCTTGCGTCCACTGTTTACATCGAGCCTGCTTACCAATCTTCAAACTTAAGTCTTTTGAGGCCTGCACTTACATCTTATCGTAAGTACCGGGCCAACATTTGGTCTACTGGCCGGTGTCGTCTAAACGAGCAGACGACAGTTCGAACGATCAGGCGGCCGTTTGAACTTCAAGACGTACTGAATGTAGTCCACAGGTGGTCCGCACAACTTGACGGTTTTCCGCCTTTCATGTTGGAACAAAACAAATAAATCTGATTACCACAAGTATCCGTGAATTCGACCCAAAGTGCTTCCCGCCCAAGCAATCGTGGTCCGACGGCGTCTGGTTTTCCCTTTTCACGGCACATATCCACGATCTCGGACTAACCGAGCACGTGAAAACGGACCTTCAAACCTTTTTCGACTCTTTTGGTACAGCCCCAGTCGCAGCGTTTTGACGAAAAGGCAGGTTTTTGTCTGGTTCCTTTCAAAGCAACGCGGGAATACACGTCTCGCATGGGGACTTCTTCCCACAGCCCCAGACCGGATGTGTGCCCGACGCGCCACCACCGCGCCGTGACGTAACACAGTTGAGTTCGCGCGTCCGAAGCGATGAAGCAAGGCCGCTTTACCACGTTGGAGGCGAGGGCGAAAAGGGCGGGCACTCTGTCCTTGACCGTGGTCAGCTCCGAGGTGAGCGACGTGACCAGGAGGAAGAAGAGCTGGGCCCAGACGCCATTGCTCGGGAGGCCACCGGCCAGGCTGCCCAGGCCCTGCAGGGCGCCGCACTCCTGCGTGCAGGACCCCCTCTGAGTACACTCCTCCAAGGCCCTCACGCCGGTTCACCCAAGCGCGGCCTAGTAGAGCCTCGCAGTACGCCTTCGAGTCGAACAAGCTCACTTTCTCCACTAAATTTGGCGCAGAAATTGCATTATAAAACTTAAAAAATAAAGGCCGCTTATTTTTCTTTTTTTTATAACTCAAAGCCGACTATTTTTGATGTGGAACGTTCTTTACCACGTCAGGGGTGTCGCGTTATTTAGTGAAGCCCCAAAAAATTATCGCGAAGCTCGACACTAATTGGGTGGTGGGAAGGTCACGTGATCAACGCTGTTTGGCTGATTCCAGTAAGTATAGAAGGTTCTGGAGAAAAAAGAAAGATAAAACCTCGGCTAGCACCAAGTTCTTGATTCCAGGAACTGTGATCAAGTTTCTGTGCCACGTGCTCATTTATCTTACGAGTGTCGTGAGCGCAGGCGCCGGGCTCGGTAACATTCCGGAGAAATACAGGAACGTTTCACGTGTAACGCAATTGCCCAGCAGTTTGCCACACGTTGTCATCAGTGTGCATCAAAATAACCGAGACATATATTGTTGCAACTTGTCAGTAAACTCGTTATTATTCTGTAATGGCAAGATTATGAAAGGTACTTTGATAATCAACCCGAAGTCTCTTCTCTAAAATCACGCGGAGTTTTTTTTTTTTTTTTTAATTGGTCGCAGCTGTTTTTATGATTAAAGGGCGACTCCGGTCAATATTTTCAAATTTGTTATTACGATCGTTTTCCGCTGAGCCAATGTACCTGGATTAAAAGTTTTTTTCTTGATTTGGCGAGTAGTTTTGACAATATCTGGCGTCATCGGTAAAGCTGAAACTATCTGGAGAGTGCAACACTGACCAGCTCGGCGACGAGATGAGCAGTCGTATCCGTGTCGCATCCTGTTGCATCTGCGATGGTTTAATGGATGCAACAGGAAGAATGCTACAGTGGTTATGCAAGGCCTTAGATCTCGTACTAAAGTACTGGTAAATGCACATATCAGATATGAGGGAAGAGTAGCATGGGAGAGAAACAACTCTCAATCGACAATAGACTACTGTATAGCCTCCCACAAGTTGTACAACAGAATGAGTGGCATGGAAATAGACGACGAAGGAATAAAAAGATTAGGGAGTGACCATAAACGAATTTAGGTTATTTTTCGTAGGACACAACAGGGGAACCATAAGCAGAGTGACAATATAGGTTTTAGTGACACACGGCTGAACGAACTATCAAAACCAATTAAGCTCTCAGTAGCCACACATGCAGAGAAAGAGTGGTCGTACAATGAATTAGTAGAAATATTCAAAAAGAAGTTGGAGCGAAACCAAGACAGATTTAAGGTCAAATGCAAACACAGGCCAAAACGTTGGTGGTGTAGGGAAGCCAAGCAGCCATAAATCAGAGACAAGAGGCATGCAGGGAGTATAGACGAGCAAAAAAGGGGGGGCTGATTCAGCGGAGCCAATAGAGGAAGAATGTAAGAACTTACAGGGAAAATTAAATCGGAGGCATATGATCAGTGGCGTCGCAAAGGGGGGGGGGGGGGGGGGGGGGGGTTTGGGTGGTTCCGGCGGGTCACGCGAGAGGGGGGGGGGGGGGTCCGGCGGGTCACGCGAGAGAGGGGGGGGGGGGGGGGGTGTCGCGGCGGGCTACCGCCCCGGGTGCCACTGACCCTCGTGACGCCACTGCATATGATTTGATCCAGTATAAGATTGGAAGAGAAGAAATTACTTTGACCAGGGAAATTAACCGAAATGATAGGAGTGCAACCAAGAAGTTTTGGGAGCACATAAGTTTACAAAGTAGGTAGGCAGAGATGCGACACAGATGGAAGGGGGGAGGCGTGCCGATATATTAAGAGCATGATTGAGCAAATGTTTTCAGATCTAGAGTATCCAGGAACCAGGGAAAGTATAGATTGTAGGGGCATCAAAACCAGACCTGAACGAAGTACCGCGGACAACATCAAGAGGATAGAAAAGAAACGAAAACAGGCTGTCAGCAGAAACCCCAACTGGACAAGAAGGTGTACCAATAAGACTTGTTAAAATTCTGGGAGAAGCAACTACACTCAAACTGCAACAAACAATAGAGAAAAAAATATTGTTTGGGGAGAGGCACCCGAGACTTGGCGACAAAGCAGGTTGACTGTACAAGGGTAAAGCAGGGACATCAAATCGTACCGCCCCATAACGGTAACATTTCTCCTATACAGACTAGCTATGCAGGTCGTGAAGGGTAGACTAGAAGAGTGGGCAGAAACATAAGAAATGTTAGGAGAACTCCAGAATGGTTTTCGCAGACTAGAACATAATTTCTACGCGGTCACACAATGTATCGAAATAGCGCGGACAAGCTAACGACCGTTATGGATGGTAATTTGGGCATACTGGGAGCATATGACAACGTAAATCAGAAAATTCTGTGGAGAAAAGCCTCAAAAGAATAAGGCTTAGATATGAAATTCGTGAGGTTATTGCAGGAGGTGTACATGGACAGTACAGTAACTATAACATGGGAGGCTGAAACCACAGAACCAGCAGCAATAAGGCGGTGACTTAGGCAGGGACCCTGTCGCCTCTACTTGTCGTGATATACTAAAAAAAAAAAAAAAAATAGAGAAAATACTGGAGCGAATTGAATGAGGATTCAATTTAACGTATACGGAGGAGGTTGGGGGGGGGGGGGGGGGGGGGTATTGAGGCAGAAATTGTCAGGCCTTATGTACGCAGATCCTATCGCACTCTTAGCAGATAACCGAGATGACTTGCAGAAATCGATTGGAATCTGCGACGTGGAAGGGGACGCTCTTAAGTCCAAGTTCAACTAAACCAAATCTAAAAAATGTTTTGTGTAAATACATCAAGGGATATTATATAAAGATACAGAACATAGAGACAGATATGGTACACTAGTTAAAATATGTGGGAGTGTGGATCACCGAAGAAAAGACATACCTAGAGGAATATGAAAAAAAATAAAAAATGAAAGATGTTTACAATTCCCTGTAACGCCGAAGGGGGATGAGGGGAAGGTACGGAGAGGAGGCTATGCCCCTCCTTTCCCCCCATTTAGGGGAATTTTTGCGCTAAATTTAGCGTGGAATTTTCCGCTATATTTAACGGGATATGTTTTCCGCTAAATTTTGCAGGAGAATTTTTCCGCTACATTTAGCGGGGGAAATTTCCTGGTAAATCTAGCGGGGGAAATATTCCCGCTGAATTTAGCGGGGAAATTTTTCCGCTAAATTTAGCGGGGGAAAATTATCGCCTAAATTTAGTGGGGAAATTTTTCCGCTACATTTAGCGGGGGGAAACGGGCGCCTAAGAGCTGCGCTCTAAAAAAGATAATTGATCAGTGGCGAATCCAGAGAGGGGGATGGGGGGGGGGGGGGGGGGGGGGGGGGCCCGAGCCTCTCCCGAGACATACGACCTCCCCCCGACCCTGCCAGGTTCCGCAAACCAGAACCTGGTGCGAAAATTTGATGGATTCTCAATGTTTGTATTCGAGCACAGAAAATTCGAACTTTCAAAGTTCGAAATTTGAAAACTTTAGAATCGAACCTCTGAGATGTTCGTCCGAACCATGTATTGGTGTCGTTTGCTAGCGTCAAAGCGCACCTGCATCCTCGATCGTGATAACGCGGCGTAAAAAAAAAAAAAAAAAAAAAAAAAAAAAAAAAAGTGCTTGTTTTTATTTGACAATGGGCTTTAGAGTAGCGATCTTCACCGTCGTCCTCGGGAAGCCTCGGCCGACCTGATGGGATTAAACGTCGCCATCTCTGAACAGAGAATCTAGAAAATAAGCTGATTTGAACACGACAGAAATATGACACCCTTCCGTGGGTGTCATGGTGATTGGTCTTTGAGGATCATTACTTTCCTTCGGGCACCCTGTCCAGGCGAGCTGCCTTCGAGCTACCATTAGCACTTCCGAGTGGGAAAGGCTACGACGGATAACCGACTATGTGTTTCTATTCCCAAGCATTCATTCAGAGAGGCAAAAAGAGAGGAGCTAGCGTTCTTGTGAACAATCTCAACGTTATTGCCATTGGCTGTCAATCCGATCTCTTCAGGTCCACGCGTAGGGACATAGAAAAAAATGTTTGGCTTAGACCAAGGCGGTCAAGCCTACACCCAATGGCCACACTGAACGTCGACGAACAATTTAATTTGGTTCCCGGAATTTATGGTTAGAGTTTGTTCTGTATGGGTGTCCGAGCCGATCAAGTCTTGCTTGTCCGTTTCGACCTTATCGGATACATCATACCCACCGCAGCGAAAATGGTAAGCCTCTTTATATTGCCCTTAACTTATTTACTTGTTGGTGAGCGCGTTGGTAATGATGTAACTTTAGAAAGAGTTTTACACATAAAGACAGGGGACGGGACAACACATCTTTCACGTGTTGTTCCGCCCCCCGTCTTTATGTATAAAACTCTTTATAACTCATTTAGTGCTTGTTTTTATGGTATATGTTTAAAACAACAGAGTCAGGCTAAAAGTGTAGTCAGGACATAATTTGATAAAATAGTCGAGCTTCTTTCGCAGGCCTCATTGTACCACGCATTCTGGTGGCGAGCTTTTTGACAAATGCCCACATAATAGCCGACGCACAAATATCCTGTGGTAATCTGAAAATCTGAAATTTATTATTAAGATCCGAAAGAGATGTTGTCCTAATTGAACTCGACGCCGGTGATCAGAGGTTTTGTCGGACATGAGTAGGGTTCAGTCTCATTGATAAATACTGGAAAACCCTAAGTATTAACCTCCAAACTGGTTCTATCAAAATAAAAAAAAAGAAACCAATTGGAACTGTTTTTAAACATCTGAAACCCAAGATTCACGGACCAAAACCTGTTTTACAGCTTTTTTTTTTTTTTTTTTTTTTTTTTTGAGCGGGAACACCGCCTACACTGAACCGTCCGCGAGGCCCTGGTTATTCCTCCAGACTCCTCATCG